ATTGGTCGAGAATTACTCAGAGGAATCCTTCATGCGAAAGGTAAACGAATTAACTATAGCGAAATGACATGTAATAATAATAATAATAGCAATATAAAACGAATACAAATATATATTATGAATCTCCAACAATTGTACATACTTTCATGTATACCTCACTGTCGTTTTGGTCTCATAAGTTTTTATTCTTGCTATGCTTAGATTTGATTTTAGTTCACTCCTGTTAAGGAGAGTATAACTTTTTCGCTTTTTTTCATAGCTTTTTAGAAAAAATTACGTATTTCCTTTTTGCCAAAGCACTAAAAAAGACGGTTAAAAAACAAACCATGTTCTTTTCATTGGATGCGTGTCGCGGGTAAACAATTGAAACAAAAGACGTACTAATAATCTGTGATAAATCATTAACATAAAATGTAGACAGGAAATCACTCAAATAAGACGTCATTTTCCCAGAGTTCATTGCAATCAACAACTGCACGCCATTTTATTGTGTCTGTGTCGATACTTTCAGTAATACCATGGAGCTAAAAAAAGGAGAGAGGACGCAATATTAGCCAATAAACTCCCTTTGTTTCACGCCCAGATTATCCAATTAAACCCATTGAATTTCGTTCTATGGAAATCCACGATAGCTGGTGTATGTTTGCACAGTGAGACGTGCCGTAGTCCTGTATTTCAAGTGAGATGTACGCCCCTCTCATAAAATTGAATGCGCAGTTAACAAATAAGGTCACTGCGTATGCGCAGTGGCATGTGATTGGTGCATTAGGTCATTCTGCGTATTTGAAGACCGGAAGCACAACAGTCGGACGATTATTCAAGAATTGGCGTCAATTTACAACATTTTTGTGCTCCGTGAGTTGACGATTTTCGAGGCTTGATTACCAAATTTTCCGCAAACATTTGCAAAACAGTTCAACTTGATTTATTATCGTTGTGAAGTTGGCTTTTAGACTCTATTTTCATTTTCTGCGAGCGACGTCCAGCGGTCGGTAAAGATCGCATTTCATATGTCGATGGTTCGCCGCTAGGTTGGAAGATTACTGTACTGTTTGTTACTGTGCGCATGCGCAGTCAACTCTAATCGCGCTCTCGTCCCAGAGGCCTTTGCACACAGTGTGTCGGCGAATACCGAATGCTAATCTGGTTCCCTGCCCTCAGCGTTGAAATGGGGCAGGGAACCAGACTATACTGAATGCGTTCCGAATATACACGAATCACGTAATCCATATTAGAAGGGAGTAACAGACAACAGGGAAGAGATTGTTTATCTTTTTGGCTAAGCAAACAAGAACCAACTAACGTGGTACACAGGAAAGACAATAGGGTCCTCTCTCCTTCTTTTTTTAGCTCCATGGTAATACTAAAGTGTAAGTTGTTCCAGTGAATCCTGACAAAACCTGTTGCTCAGTTTAAACTCAATATAATTTGCCTGTCTTGTATGGCATTTTCGTTTCTAAAGAACAAGATCGGCAGAAAACTGAAATAAAAAAACCAACAAAACATGATCAGAAAAAAAGACGTCAATTAAAAACCATGCAAGTGTTTATATTTCAGCCATGCGAAAGTTTCAATGAGAAGCCATGATACCACATACATTTTGTTGGAAATAAACAAAATAAGCGATAAGACAACTGAAATGACCCGCCCATGCTCTACAAAATGCATGTAAGCACACCAAATATGCAACAACAGGCAGTTCCAATGAAATTAACAACAGTTACAGTAACGTGGCCAAAGTAACAATTGTAGGCAAATACTGTAAAGGGGGTAATTATTCACTGGGTTTTAATTTAGCTTATTTCGCTGACTGGAAAAATGCGCTAAATTAAAACCCAGTGAATATGTAAAATTAAGCATAGAACACATTATCTAAATGACGAAACCGTGAATTTAAAACCCACTGAATATGCCCGAAATGGTAAATCAGTGAAATTTAAACCCAGTGAAAATTAGTCATTGTACAGTAGTCGACTTGTTTTATTGAAGATGATACATTTTGTTTTGTCTGTATTGACAGATAACTTCCACTCTATTGTGCTTTGTGTATGTAAGTAGACTACTTAGACAATATTGAAGATCAATATCGTTTTCAGAAAGTACTAGTATATAAATGTCATTTGCATATAGCAGACAGCTAACTTTACTGTCATTTAAAGTGGGGTGGCATGTATTTGGATTAAAAATTCGGGGTTAAGTTGAAGAGAATGGAACAAGTTGCAATCTTGTTTTATGCACATGCATGTTGAAGACAATTTAATTAATCCACCATAATTCCGTAATTTCAGAACCATGCCTTCAAGCTATAACACTGTCAAATGCTTTTTAAAGATTCGATTTGTGTAGTTTTTGCATTTTTGTATAATATGACTTGTCATCGGCATATTAATGAAATAGGAGATTATTTTCAGTTGACAACTGGCCTTTAGTAAAAACAGATGGGTGTATGCTGGTGAAGTAAAACTTAAACCATTGTATTGCAGTATTAATTATCTCAAATGCAATCAGTCTGTTGTGTAGTATTTCACATTTCTTCATATGGTAGGATGAAAATACCCTGCAAAATTACGGCATGCTGTATTTTGTGGTGTTATGGTGACAGATGTATAATAATATTTTGTATGCAGCAAAATTTAGGCAATCCAGGGTACATCAATATTGAATACAAATACGCAATATCAATATTACACATCTTTTTTATTTACATATTGTTAAAAAAAATACATAGTTAAATACATGCATAATAACAGTAAAATACAGACCAACATAGTAGTATGTATGTCTGTGGTACTGGTACATCTCACTGACACAAAAAAAATATATTTTATAAGTATTTACAGGAATACCACCAGATACAATGTACAATATGTTACCATGGTAACAGTGACAATAGCCAGTGAATTACCAAATACTAAATTCTGCATGTTGGAAAATAAAAATTTAAAAACTTTACTAATTTAAAATAGCTTTGTACATGTTTGAATAGTAAATGAATTCATTTGTTTAATAAATAAATACATACAAAAAATCTGATTTCATTTTATTGTGCTTGATTTTGTCTGGTTGACACCCATATAGAGCTTATTAAAATGCCATTATCACATAGTCTTGTTAGATAATTTCGAACACAAAAGATTATGGTTTCTGTGGCAAACTGCTATATCTATAGCATGTGTATAATTTTGAAAGAAAAGTCAGGAAAGAATTAAGGAAAGAAATTGATTGAATGACCTGGCACCGAAATGTAATTTTAAAAATGCGTCAGTTTCATCTGTTATACTAAATGAGTTAAAACATAGCATAAGTATTACAACCTTTCCCATTAATGATCTAGATTAAATAACAAATTTATGGATAGATAGATACATGATATTTTTTTATTGCATGGCAAAAATGAGTATAAAATTCCTGAAATACTGTAGTAATGCGATAATATATTCAAACATTTTGTGGTAAATAAAAGCTGAAATTTACGTGGGAACAATTCTGACAAAAAAATTTTCAAAAAAAAAATTACTTAATATTCATGTTCCTCTATAATGTATAGTTCATATCAATGTCTATTATAGAATAATATAATATAACATGAATTGTAAAAAAGTTCCCAAATAATATATCCACCAGATTTGAAAAAAGCAGAAAAACTACACTGCACGTGTTACATTTTTTATTTATACTATATATTGAAAAAAAAGACATCAGTACTGGTCTCAGTCAAAATTTTACAGTTAATGTTTACTTTTTATTGATTTTATTGAAGATTTTCAAGTTTGAAGTTCATTAGATATAAATTGCAACCCAAAAAACAGTAAGACAAGAACAATACCAACATTCACCTTTCAAACATCTTTCTCATCATTTAGGTTCTTGGAAAAGTATAAATGCGTAAAAGGTTGCAACAAATTGATGAAAAAATTATTGTGATCAAATCGAGACGTTACATTCATAAATAACACTTTGACAAATTAACAAAAATTCTTTAATTTCATCAGCACAAGCATAATCAACACCAATGTCATGAAAAGATCATGTCTCATTGTTCAAAAGAGCCACGGTTCAGGTCATTGTTGGCTTTTTGCTGTCAATCTCTGAAACTAAATGTAGACACACTGTTCTTACAATATACCTTATTCTCAGTACAACTGATGATAGATATCTCACATAAAAAAAAAACCCACAAGACTTTTATTTTTATCTCAACTAGTAATAAGCATGGACACACACGAAGGGCAATAACACTGGCATACAAGTGGCAAAACATTATTATCTGTAAAATCTATGATCCAGTCATAAACACTTGGCAGTCTGACTATTGTTGCTACAGTGATAATAAAAACATTATTATACTACTCTATCTTCTCTTGCCAGAGCTGGTTGCGGAGCACTGTACAGATTTGGAATATTACCAGTTACATCCCCTTCTCTCATCTCCATTGCGGCATCATAGCTTGGAGGTGGCGGAAGATTTTCTTCTCCGGGATCATTAGTCACACTGTTATATGCCGGGGGTTGTTCTATTGCTGGTGCTGATGGTTGCGGTGGTGTGATCACAATAGGAACCGTTGTATCAGCCCGTCTGTTCTGTTGACTGCTTTGAAATGGTTCATACCAAGAAGGGTAATGCTGATATGCTGGGAAAGAAAAATAATCGGCCATTATGTATTCTGTGCGAGAAGTTTTAAAGCGCTATATTAATATTTGGTATATTCATGTGTTGGAATGTAATAGTGTTAGTGTGGTATATTGTTTTTAAAGGAACCCAACGTTTTCATGAACATGGGCTATCAATTTGATACTAAACAATCAGAATATGTATTCACATAGATGGATACTGAAGAGTGTGCACAAAGATTGTACAATTGACAATTGCTGTCTACGTGAATACCTTGTTGTATCCTTATACAAAGGTTATTAGTATTTGGATTTGGAAGCCCTGAGCTCAGTCAAATTCTTGCTCAAAGTTCAAAGTTTATTAGGAATCCTGTCAGCTAAATGCTGTTTTACAAGGAGCCAGTTAAAATATTACATTAAAATACAATACAGAAAAAAATATATATACAAATATACAAGCAACAATTACATTAGAATATTTTTAAAATTTACCAGTATTTTGTAAAATATACTGAGAACATGTCTTCTTAAAACCAGCAAATGTACGTATCTTGATTACGCACTTGCTGGGGGAGAGAGGACTTGTGGCCAGATTGGACCCTAAAGTCACCTGTCAACTGTGTAATATGAGTGCACTTCTCTAAGATATTTAATTTTTGAAATAAGATACTCAGGTGCCAAATTATGGGACACTCGCTACATTAAAACCATCTTATTAAAATGAATTCGCTGTTTAACACTCATCCATTGTAAGTAAACATATCCTCAATATGGGTCCGAGGACCAGCCTGCAAAATAAATCGCATTGCGCAACTTTGTAGTCTCTGTAATCTGGAGATGTTCTTACCAGAAGATACAGACCACACGGTTGAACAGTAATCCATATGAGATAAGATTAGAGTATAAAAAAAGTGATTTACATGTTTGGAAAGGGATGAATGGAGAGCAGCGTTTTAAAATGCCCAGACCTCTATTTATTTTTTTAATTATACTGTTAAAGGGCTCATCAAAGTTGAGGTGGGTATCTATAGAAACACCAAGATATTTTAAAGCCCTAACTTGCTCTAAATTAGATTGATCTAGCTTTATATTAAGGGTAGTTGTTGGTAAATGACAAACTTTCTGGTGATTACAAATCAGTATAGAATTAGTTGGAACCCTGGTTGTAATGGACTCTGACATAGTAAGAGATCCATTATGCTATGAACACTGAGATACAAAACACTGAGATTCAGTAAGCATGTTGGCATACTCATACCACTGTACATTAAAAAACATGCAATTCCCAGGTGACATTGCAGTCACATGTGACAAGAAATGACAACATCAGTGAGTCATTGTAAATTTCCCTTAGCACCACACCCATTCTCTAAGATTCAGTCAGCATGTGAAACACACACTTCACACTGCTGTATGTTACATGATACATCATTCCCAGGTGACATTGCAGACACGTGTGACAAAAAATGACACCATCAGTGAGCCATTGTATTAATGCCTCACTCACTCTCTGGATTTCAGTTAGCATGTGAAACACATACTCCACGATGCTGTACATTACAAAACATGTGATTGCCAGGAGATCATTGCAGACACATGTGACAATGAATGACAGTATCAGGTAAACATTGTAATTTTTCCTTAGCCCACTCAATAACCCAATGACAATTACAATCAAAGAAAGCTTAGAAAGAACTCCTGTGTGCTGAGAGTATTGAAGACACATTAAAAATTAATTCAAAATTACTTGTACCTGAGATATTGATGGAAAAACTGAAAACTAATTATGTAAATCAGGTAACTAATATGAACAGAACAGAACAAAAAAATTATGAATTATTATGCTAATTAGAGAATTAATATGAACAAATTTTAACCCAAAATTAATCAGGCCTTTCTATTGTCCTAGAGAATTTATGTACCAAATTTTATTCAAATGTGATGATCAGTAATTAAGATATCAGTGTTAATTAATTATGTTAATTAGGTGATTAATAAGCATAAATATTTACCAAAAACTAATTGGGTCTCTTCATAGTTATAGATTCATTGAAATGTGATGATGAGTACTCTTTAAAAGTTTCATTAAAATCCAATTCGTGGTTCTTTATATATCAGTGGAACATTCATGAAAAAAGTTAACTAATTATGCAAATAAGGTAATTAATATCCACAATTATTTACCCTAAATCTAATCAAGTCTCTGCATAGTCCTAGAAGATCTATGTAGCAAGTCTCATTGAAATATGATGATTAGTACTTGAGATATCAGGCAAAAAGCTGAAAATTACCTGATTATATGCTAATAAGGTAATTAATATGTACAAATATTTACTCAAAAACTAATCAGGGGTCTGCACAGTCCTTAAGTAACTATGTACCAAGTTTCATTG